TGTTCTTGCAATTTTGCAATTGCTAGGCCCTTGTCTTTGAAATTTTGCACTCGCTAGGCCCTTGTTCTTGCAATTTTGCACTTGCTAGGCCCTTGTTCTTGCAATTTTGCACTCGCTAGGCCCTTGTTCTAGCAATTTTTGCACACGTTAGGCCCTTGTTCTTGCTAGTTTGCACACGCTAGGCCCTTGTTCTTGCTATTTTGCATACGCTAGGCCCTTGTTCTTGCAATTTTGCACATGCTAGGCCCTTTTTTTTTTGCAATTTTGCACACGCTAGGCCCTTGTTCTTGCTATTTTGCACTCGCTAGGCCCTTGTTCTTGCAATTTTGCACTCGCTAGGCCCTTGTTCTTGCAATTGTGCACTCGCTAGGCCCTTGTTCTTCCAATTTTGCATTCGCTATGCCCTTGTTTTTGAAATTTTGCACTCGTTAGGCCCTTATTCTTGCAATTTTGCACTTGCTAGGCCCATGTTCTTGCAATTTTTCATTGCTAGGCCCTTGTTCTACCTATTTTGCACACGCTAGGCCCTTGTTCTTGCTATTTTGCAGACGCTAGGCCCTTGTTCTTGCTATTTTGCACACGCTAGGCCCTTGTTCTTGCAATTTTGCACACGCTAGGCCCTTGTTCTTGCTATTTTGCACTCGCTAGGCCCTTGTTCTTGCAATTTTGCACTCGCTAGGCCCTTCTTCTGGCAATTTTGCACTCGCTAGGCCCTTGTTCTTGCAATTTTGCAGTTGCTAGGCCCTTGTTCTTGAAATTTTGCACTCGCTAGGCCCTTCTTCTTGCAATTTTTGCACACGCTAGGCCCTTGTTCTTGCTATTTTGCACTCTCTAGGCCCTTGTTCTTGCTATTTTGCACTCTCTAGGCCCTTGTTCTTGCAATTTTGCATACGCTAGACCCTTCTTCTTGCAATTTTGCACACGCTAGGCCCTTGTTCTTGCAATTTTGCACTCGCTAGTCCCTTGTTCTTGCAATTTTGCAATCACTAGGCCCTTGTTTTTGAAATTTTGCACTCGCTAGGCCCTTGTTCTTTCAATTTTGCACTTGCTAGGCCCTTGTTCTTGCAATTTTGAACTCGCTAGGCCCTTGTTCTTGCAATTTTTGCACACGCTAGGCCCTTGTTCTTGCTATTTTGCACACGCTAGGCCCTTGTTCTTGCTATTTGGCACACGCTAGGCCCTTGTTCTTGCAATTTTGCACTTGCTAGGCCCTTGTTCTTGCAATTTTGCACTCGCTAGGCCCTTGTTCTTCAAATTTTGCATTCGCTAGGCCCTTGTTCTTCCAATTTTGCAATCGCTAGGCCCTTGTTTTTGAAATTTTGCACTCGTTAGGCCCTTGTTCTTGCAATTTTGCACTTGCTAGGCCCTTGTTCTTGCAATTTTGCACTTGCTAGGCCCTTGTTCTACCTACTTTGCACACGCTAGGCCCTTGTTCTTGCTATTTTGAAGACGCTAGGCCCTTGTTCTTGCTATTTTGCACACGCTAGGCCCTTGTTCTTGCTATTTTGCACTCGCTAGGCCCTTGTTCTTGCAATTTTGCACTCGCTAGGCCCTTGTTTTTGAAATTTTGCACTCGCTAGGCCCTTGTTCTTGCAATTTTGCACTTGCTAGGCCCTTGTTCTTGCAATTTTGCACTCGCTAGGCCCTTGTTCTTGCAATTTTTGCACACGTTAGGCCCTTGTTCTTGCTATTTTGCACACGCTAGGCCCTTGTTCTTGCTATTTTGCACACGCTAGGCCCTTGTTCTTGCAATTTTGCACATGCTAGGCCCTTTTTTTTTTGCAATTTTGCACACGCTAGGCCCTTCTTCTTGCTATTTTGCACTCGCTAGGCCCTTGTTCTTGCAATTTTGCACTCGCTAGGCCCTTGTTCTTGCAATTGTGCACTCGCTAGGCCCTTGTTCTTCCAATTTTGCATTCGCTAGGCCCTTGTTCTTGCAATTTTGCAATCGCTATGCCCTTGTTTTTGAAATTTTGCACTCGTTAGGCCCTTGTTCTTGCAATTTTGCACTTGCTAGGCCCTTGTTCTTGCAATTTTGCACTCGCTAGGCCCTTGTTCTACCTATTTTGCACACGCTAGGCCCTTGTTCTTGCTATTTTGCAGACGCTAGGCCCTTGTTCTTGCTTTTTTGCACACGCTAGGCCCTTGTTCTTGCAATTTTGCACACGCTAGGCCCTTGTTCTTGCTATTTTGCACTCGCTAGGCCCTTGTTTTTGCAATTTTGCACTCGCTAGGCCCTTCTTCTTGCAATTTTGCACTCGCTAGGCCCTTGTTCTTGCAATTTTGCAGTTGCTAGGCCCTTGTTCTTGAAATTTTGCACTTGCTAGGCCCTTCTTCTTGCAATTTTTGCACACGCTAGGCCCTTGTTCTTGCTATTTTGCACTCTCTAGGCCCTTGTTCTTGCTATTTTGCACTCTCTAGGCCCTTGTTCTTGCAATTTTGCACACGCTAGACCCTTGTTCTTGCAATTTTGCACACGCTAGGCCCTTGTTCTTGCAATTTTGCACTCGCTAGTCCCTTGTTCTTGCAATTTTGCAATCACTAGGCCCTTGTTTTTGAAATTTTGCACTCGCTAGGCCCTTGTTCTTGCAATTTTGCACTTGCTAGGCCCTTGTTCTTGCAATTTTGCACTCGCTAGACCCTTGTTCTTGCAATTTTTGCACACGCTAGGCCCTTGTTCTTGCTATTTTGCATACGCTAGGCCCTTGTTCTTGCTATTTGGCACACGCTAGGCCCTTGTTCTTTCAATTTTGCACTTGCTAGGCCCTTGTTCTTGCAATTTTGCACTCGCTAGGCCCTTGATCTTGCAAATTTTTCACACGCTAGGCCCTTGTTCTTGCTTTTTTGCACTCGCTTGGCCCTTGTTCTTGCTATTTTGCACACGCTAGGCTCATGTTCTTGCAATTTTGCACACGCTAGGCCCTTGTTCTTGTTATTTTGCACACGCTAGGCCCTTGTTCTTGCAATTTTGCACTCGCTAGGCTCTTGTTCTTGCTATTTATCACAAGCTAGGCCCTTGTTCTTGCAATTTTGCACTCTCTAGGCCCTTGTTCTTGCTATTTTGCACACAGCAGGCCCTTGTTCTTGCAATTTTGCACACGCTAGGCCCTTAACTTGCAATTTTGCACACCCTAGGCCCTTGTACCTGAAATGTCGCACATGCTAGGCCCTTGTTCTTGCTATTTTGCACACGCTAGGCTCTTGTTCTTGCAATTTTGCACACGCTAGGCCCTTGTTATTGTTATTTTGCACTCGCTAGGCCCTTGTTCTTGCTATTTGGCACACGCTAGGCCCTTGTTCTTGCAATTTTGCACACGCTAGGCCCTTGTTCTTGCTATTTTGCACACGGCAGGCCCTTTTTCTTGCAATTTTGCACACGCTAGGCCCTTGTTCTTGCAATTTCGCACACACTAGGCCCTTGTTCTTGCTATTTTGCACACGCTAGGCCCTTGTTCTTGCAATTTTTCACACGCTAGGCCCTTGTTCTTGAAATTTTGCATACGCTAGGCCCTTGTTCTTGCAATTTTGCACACGCTAAGCCCTTGTTCTTGCTGTTTTGCACACGCTAGGCCCTTGTTCTTGCAATTTTTGCACACGCTAGGCCCTTGTTCTTGAAATTTTACACACGCTAGGTCCTTGTTCTTGCAATTTTGCACACGCTAAGCCCTTCTTCTTGCTATTTTACACACGCTAGGCCCTTGTTCTTGCAATTTTGCACACGCTAGGCCCTTGTTCTTGTTATTTAGCTGCTCACCATTGCTGCTCGCCGTTTCCTCCTGAAATACTCGCCACTGGTTGGGGCCCGCCTCACAAGCAACAGACCCCCACCCCAAATCGCAGTTAAGCTCATCAGGTACAGGTTGAGCCCCCCTAAAGCCTTACAGCCCCCTCAGGTTCCCCTGGTGGTCTGTGGCTTGTGGATGTGCTCCTCCAGTGGCCCCTCCCTTGCCTTGCCTGCTGTTTCCCCATCCCACTCTCGCTCCCACCTCCTCCACTGCCTTCACCTTGTTCCTCACGGCGCTCCCCTCCCCTCCCTCCCCTCCCTTCCCTCCCATCCCTTTCCTGCCAGGCGAGCCCAAGCCAATAGGACGGAAGCAGGCGAGGGGAGCGGAGCACTAGGGCGGGCAGCAGGAGCGCGGGCAGCGGGGCAGCAGCGCCGGCCTCATCAATGGTTGAGGTTGCAGTATCGCCCCTGCCACCACACTCCACTCGAGCCCACTCCCCCTCAGGTTCAGGTTCAAGTGCAGGTGCAGGTTCAGGTTCAGGTTGGTAGCGGATCTTGTGGGGTTGTGGTTGGCGTCACATGCACTATTGTTTCTGCTGTTGCACGTGTGTTTGGCACTTTTCTCCATTGCAACCCCTCATACTTTCGGCTGCCTTTCCTTTCCTCCCTGCCCTCCCTCCCCTCCCTCCCCTCCCTTCCCTGCCAGGTCTTCACAAGCAAGAGGGAGAGCAGCAGCAGGCAAGGGGAGCACCAGGGCGGGCAGCAGGAGCACGGGCAGCGGGGCAGCAGCGCCGGCCTCATCAACGGTTGAGGTTGCAGTATCGCCCCTGCCACCACACTCCACTCGAGCCCACTCCCCCTCAGGTTCAGGTTCAGGTGCAGGTTCACGTTGGTAGCGGCTCTTGTGGGGTTGTGGTTGGCGTCACATGCACTGTCGTTTCTGCTGTTGCACGTGTGTTTGACACTTTTCTCCATTGTAACCCTTCTCACTTTCGGCTGCCTTTCCTTTCTGCCCTGCCCTCCCTCCTCTCCTTTCCCTGCCAGGCCTTCACAAGCCAAGGGGACGGCAGCACGCGAGGGGGGCACCAGGGCGGGCAGTAGGAGGGCGGGCAGCAAGGCAGCACCGCTAAGCCTCATCAATGGTCGAGGTTGCAAGTATCGCCCCGCCGCTACACCCCACCACAGCCCCAATTCCCCTCAGGTGCAGGTTCAGGTGTAGGTTCAGGTTCAGTTTCAGGTTGGTAGGGGCTCTTGTGGGGCTGTGGGCGGCTGTCACATGCACCGTCGTTTCTGCACTCGCACTCACTCTTCATTTGCAAGGGCCGCGCCCTTGCGCCTGCCACGCACTCACTGTGTCTCCCCCCTGCCCTGCCTCGCAGGTCCTTCCCTTCAACCCTCCTCGCTGGCTCGCACCTCCTCCGCTCGCCCCTGCCCCCTCTCCTTCACCGCACCCCCCACGCCACCACCACCACTGCTCCAACTCTCAGCTAAGTGCTTCGCCTCCTTGGTCCTTGCCTACTGTTCTGCTTCTCGTTTATTCTTCCGCTTTGTTTGTTTCCAAAACTCGCTGCTGGTTGGGGCTTGACTCGCAAGCCACAGATCTCAATTGAGGTTCAGGTTCAGGCTCAGGTTCAGGTTCAGGTTCAGGTTCAGGTTCAGCCCCCCTACAGCCTTACAGCCCCTCAGGTCCCCTTGGGGGTCTGTGCCTTGCAGTTGTGTCTCAACCAGTGGCCCCTCCTTTCTCATTTTCCTTGCATTTTTTCAGCCGCTCTTGCCGTTTCACCTGTCATCCCTTCACTGCCTACTCACCAGCTCTGCGTGTGTGCCTTGCAGGTGGGGGGGAGGGGTGTGGGGTCAGCACCGCCATTCCCTCACGCCTCTCCCCGGTGGCCGTGCAGGGAGGGACGCACACGGGAAGGCTGGGAGGAGGGCTGCCGGGGAAGGAGTCACCTGGTGCTGCTGTAGTGCCCTCTGCTCGCTCTCACGCCTTACAGCTAAGTTCCCTCAACCCCTTGCCTGCCTCGCCATGTCTTGTGTACTTTGCTTGCATCTCGTGTTTGCATGCACTTTCGCACCTTCCTCTTGAAACAGCGCCACTGGTTGGGACCGGCTCACATGCTGTAGACCCCTTTACTTCAGGTAACCCTCTCAGGTGCAGGTACCCCCTCAGGTGCAGGTGTGCAGGTACCCCCTCAGGTGCAGCCCTTGGGTCTGCAGTTTGTGACTTGGCCTCCACCAGTGGCCCCTCCCCTCTCCCGCCTTGCAAATGCCGTTCCCTCTCTTGCGCTTTCACCATTCATCCCCTCGCTGCCCACTGACCAGCTCTGCGTGTGTGCCTTGCAGGTGGAGGGGAGGGGCGAGGGTCAACACCGACGCTTCCCCACGCCCCTCATCTGTGGCCGTGCAGGTACCCGTGGGGATGGGAGGGAGGCAGCACTGCCAATCCCTGCCACAAGGGAGAGTATCGGGGTGGGCTTGGCCTCTCAAGGTACGACACCTCCTCTCTTGCTCTCATCGTTCTCCCTTTCTGCTCCTCAATTTTTCCTTTTCTGCTCTTCACTTCTGCCTTCTCGTTATTGTCAATTCTTTTTTATCCATTTGTTTTCTGGTCATGCCAACTCACTTGCTTTTTCTTCCCCTCTTTCTTCCCCCCAACCAGGTCACTTGGCAGCGAGTGAAGACTGTAGCAGATGAAGCTGAGTAGCATACCGGCAGCAGCAGTTGCAGCAGAAGCGGCCTCAGCAGCAGCAGCGGGGGCGGGGTGGGGGGGGGAGGCCTAGAGGACAGGCTAGGTTAGGTCGAGTCGTGAGCGAAGTGTGGTATGGTATCAGGTGAGGTATGGTTGCAGGTGTGTTATCTGATCCCCTCCCCTCTCTTTCTCCCCCTCCCCCCAACCCCTCTTGCAGCATGAGAGAGGGAGGGACCACCGGAGCAAGGGCGAGACACAAGGCATCTCTCGTTTCATCTCTCCCCCCCCCCCCCCCCCCCCTCCTCTCCTCCTCCCCCCACCCCTTTTACAGCCTGCGGAAGGGAGGGAGCACTGGAGCAAAGGCTGACAGAGGCATCCCTCTTTTGACCCCCCAACCCCCTTCTCCACTCTCCACTTCCCAGCAGCCTGAGGCATCATGGCGCTCTGCATGGCTGTGGTAGGTACAGGTAAGGAGGCATGGGGTGAAGGGAGGGGGGTGAAGCATAGGAGCAAGTGGGCAGGTCACTTCCTTAGGGGCAGCATCCTCTGGTGTCGTGCCTTGTGGTTCGGGGTGTGGTGGGTGGAATCTACGCGGCACGGCACTCGGTGCTCAAGTAACCGATCTGGCGTTCAAGGCTTAATGGACACCGTCAGAGCCGACCGGCCAGCGGCTCTGGTTCGCGTCAGCTCTAGCCACGTCAGGGGTGGGATTTGAGTCTTGGGCTGGAAGCAATTTTCCACTGCCACACCTGGACTTCAAGGCACAGCCCCCAAGAGTGCTGTTTCCGAAAGGGAGTGGGCTGTCTGCTGCTCCTATTGCTGGTAAGTGAAGTTGAGGAGGGCTGGGTGTGCTGGATGGTGATGGTGGTGATAGGCTGTGGGGTTGGCAGTGGCATATGATGAGCTGTATGGCACTGACCACCTGTTGCATGAGAGCATGATGCTCGTACTTGGTAGGTGGCACATGATGAGCCGTATGGCACTGATGCCACCTGTTGCTAAGTGGGAATATACGCTCGAACCTGTTTGCGTTTAGCGTATACACGCTAGCGTGTATACGCAAAACGCTAAACGCTATCGAATACGCTATACACTCACCAATTTTTTTTTGGGGCAGCCCGGCCAGAAAATTTCAACCTATACGGTTCGCTTCGGAATTGCACGACGAAGACATTAGCGCGGTCAGATGGCACGTCCGCGGTGTGTGCTAGCGTGGACGTGGGTTGAAAGTTCGTGTCGCAAATGGAAAGTCACGTTCGTCGAGTCGCGCCTACACGTTCCCTCACATTTTGGTGTTCACTATCAGTACCGCATTCAAACCCTTCGCAACCAGCACCTCTCCAGTTTTTGTTGGCCATCTTCCCACTCCCACAATCAACTCGCCATAAAACAAGCACACCCCCAACATCCAACTCATTAGGTCTTCTCTCGCTACCAGCAGAGCAATAGGCATTCCCTAGCGCATGGTGCCTATGTCGACGACTATTACCTCTCCTCTAACGCCAACGTCAGTTAACACCGTTGGCAGTTCGCAAACTCTTCTAACCAAGGCACGGGAGTATCTCCCGGGCGTTGACCATGCCGTCTTCAAGTACTTCCGCATCATCAAGAGGGTCGAGGGAAAAGCTCAGCAGTACGAGTGCAAGTTCTGCAGCAATGTCTACACTGGTGCTGCCATCCGATGCGTGCAACACTTCACGCCGTGGAAGGGGATGAAACGTCGTGAAGTGGTGCTTTGCAATGATGCGCCGCAAGATGTGCGCTTGGCCATGCGCACGAAATACGAGGCAAAGGCTGTTGCGGCCAAAGAGAAGAGGCGGGCAGCAGCTGAAGCGGTTGCCGCGGTCAAGGCTAATGGTGTGAAGCGGGCGCGCATCACCGATTACCTTGAGGGGGATGCGGCTGCAAGAAAGAGAGAAGCGGACGAGGCACTTGCGCTTGCTTGGGCCGCCCTCCATATCCCCGAGCGCCACATTGACCATCCTCTGATGGTCAATGCATTGAACCTCGTCAAGCGCGCCGGTGCCGACTACGTCCGTCCCAAGAGGAAATACATCGGCGGTGCTGGCCTTCTCTCGTGTCGCAACGGAATCGAGCAGGGTTTGGTGGGTATTAAGGCGAGCTAGAAGAGGACGGGCGTGACGGTTTCGTCCGACATGATGACGGACCGCAACGGCAGGCCGCACGTCAACGTGCTTCTCGTAAACGATTCCGGCGCCGTCTTCACCGACTCTATTGACTGCAACATGGAGAGGAAAACCGGAGGTTACGTGGCGGGGATTCTTAGGCCCGTGGTGGAGGAAGTGGGTCCAGACCCCATATGTGTAGGCCGTGGTATATGTGTAATGTGGAAAAAAAAAATATCTGAAACTTCAGGCCCCATACCCCACCCCCATACCCCCCCCCCCCCCCCCCCCCCACGCCTTTTTTTTACCCTGCCTGGGAAGTTTTTTTTCTGCCCGAAAAAGCGTATATCAAAACCCGTCCCTACAGCGTATAGCGTATATAAGAGTGCGTGTATACGATAAGCGTATATAGGCAATAAGCGTATATTCCCACTAAGACCTGTTGCATGAGAGCTTGATGCTCGTACTTGGTAGGTGGCATATGTTGAGCCGTAAGTCACTGATGCCACCTGTTGCGTGAGAGCATGATGCTTGTACTTGGTAGGTGGCATATGATGAGCCGTATGGCACTGATGCCACCTGTTGCATGAGAGGATGCTGCTCGTACTTGGTAGGTGGCATATGATAAGCCGTAAGGCACTGATGCCACCTGTTGCACAAGAGCATGATGCTCATGCTTGGTAGGTGGCAGATGATGAGCCGTATGGCACCGATGCCACCTGTTGCAAGAGACCATGATGCTCGTACTTGGTAGGCGGCATATGATAAGCCGTAAGTCACTAATGCCACCTGTTGCATGAAAGCATGATGCTCGTACTTGGTAGGTGGCATATGATGAGCCGAATCGCACTGATGCCACCTGTTGCATGCATGGGCACAGCTGGAATGTTCTGATTTAAAATGTGAGTGTGTGGTGAGAGTGGGAGCAGAGAGGGTGGTGAGGGTGAGTGGTTAGAGTGGTGAAGGAGTGGTGAGAGTGAGGTGAGACTGAGCGGCCAGAATGGTAAGAGTTAGGTGACACTGAGTGGTGAGAGTGCAGTGAGGGTGGGTGGTTACAGTGAGTGGTGGAGGGGTGCGGCGAGGTGGTGAGATGGAGTGAGTGGTGAGAGTGCAGTGAGAATGGGTGGTGAGAGTGGTGATTTCCAGCGAGTGATGAGAGAGTGGTGATTTCCAGCGAGTGATGAGAGAGTGGTGATTTCCAGCGAGTGATGAGAGAGTGGTGATTGATGTGCAGTGAGTGGTGAGAGCGCGGTGCTGTTGGGATGTAAGGGTGGCGCAGAGAGCAGAGAGGGTGGTGAGGGTGGGTGGTCAGAGAGGTGAGTGGCGACTATTGTGAGAGAATGCTGAGACTGAGCTGTGAGAGTGAGTGGTGAGAATGGGAAGTGGTGGAGGGGTGGAACTCGCGAGGTGGAGAAGTGGCGAGGTGGGATGAGTGATGAGAGTGAATTGTTAGAGTGAGTGGAGGGAATTAGTGGTGAAGCGTGGTGGAGACTGGAATCTGCTGGTGGGTGGTGCAAGTGAGTGTAGAGAGTGCAGTGATAGTGGGTGGTGAGAGAGTGGTGGGAGTGGCAAGGGGTGCAACAGTGTGCAACTGAGATGTCATAAAGGTACCATGTGCATGCATGCGTACACCAGGCATACATGTTGCACTTGTTCTTGTACGTGTGTGTATGAAGTATGCAGTGTGCATGCATGAGACCAAGCATAGATATTCGAATGTGTGCATACATGTGTCTATGTGTGCGATTTGCTTGCATTTGAGCACTTGTGCTCAGGAACATTATCCCATTTGGACCTCTATTTGACCAGCTGATTTGACCTTCTCTCAAGGAATGAAAACATACGTACTGAAAATTGGTTGCAGTTGCAAGGATGCCGACGAATCTGGAAGTATGTTGGTGCACAGAGGATTGAAGGGAAAAAAGCATGTTATTCATTATAATAACTGGACTTGGTGCAAGTCCCAGGGTAAATGGTGTTGGGCTGAGAAAATAGCCCTTTGGATCTTTGCATGGGTGAACTCTGGGTAGAACTGATGTAGTAGCGGAAGCGTTTAATGAAGAGTTGTGAACCACCTTGCGCTAGTATGTGAGGGCAGAGTTGATTGATTAAAGCAAAGAGATACAAGATTATATAAGAGTACAAGGAATATGAGGAGATACGATTCCAACTGTTTTACTGTTGATGTTCCGGTTCGATACAGTGACGACTCGGGCAACTGCTCTGTAACGAGTCAGTTGTGTGTCCTTGATGTCGCGCTCTACTTGTCAGGTCAAAGGTCGCTGACCTTTGACTTTCGCGTTACCTCCAGCAACTGCTCAACCTCCAAGGGTTGACTCACCAGTGCTTCGATATGCTTCACTTCGCTTCTGACTTGGTGTTTCGACACGACAGAGGCGCTTAGAGCTAATTGTTTCCAGCAAATGGGAACAATAAAGCAGGTCATTTCTGCAGTAAAAAATATGTCGTGTCAAATATAGCGTTGTAGTTTTGATTGGTGTAACTACTCTGCATTAGCAAACCGTTCTGGACCGTTGGATTTGTTCGATCCCTAAACCGTTCAGAGAGATGTGCCTCATTACCGAGGTCCAACAAGATTCTTGCAGTTCGCAGCTCTCTTCGGGACCAAGATCCCGACAAAAACGTTGCGGAAGCACTCTGGTTTGCGCTGGTCCCTGTGAGTCAGTCTTTTGAGAGGTTAAGTTTTCGCCATTTGCCGGGTCTTCCTGCCCAACCGTTAAACTAGACGGAGGAAGCGACACTCACAACTATCGCACGCTTCAAAACCATTCAAAAGTAACCAGATCCAAGATCGCACTCACGTCGCAAGCTGTTTCGTTTCCCGATTCAACATTGTGAACGTTGCAGTTTTCGTCGCCCCGCCTTTTTGCGCATCGAGCGCGACATAGCGGCCAGGCGCGATGCGCCAATCTTGTCGGCGAGCCCTTGCCTTGCTGCACCCTGGGTGGAAATATTCCGCCCGCAATCCAACCTCGGCATTGGTCGAAGTTCTTCTGGTCTGTGCAATGCTGAACGCTTCCTGGGGTGAACAGAACGAGGTCAACACGCCTACCAAACACCATAACCTTTCCGGAAATATAGCAACCGAGCTTAACCATTCAGAGCTTCACGACCAAGAAAAGATAACTGCACCAAACACATTGCAACCGATATGAACCGTTTCTGAACCCAACCAAGCAGTGTTTCAGGCAGTCAGTGCAGCAAGCCGAGCTACCCCCCTTCTCTTCCCACCCACCCTCCCCTGCTCCCCATTTTCCTTTCTATCACTGGTAGCTACTATCATTGTTTTTTCCTGAACAACTGCGGAGCCATGGCGTAGCGTGTGGGAACGGATTAGCTTTAGTTTTTTCCGTCAGTAAGCGACCTCTCGGCGTTCAGCATTGATGTCTTTGAAAGCGACGACTACTAACACCATCGTTTAAATCAGGCCACTAGTTTCGTTCTCGCTGGCGACAATTTCTATCCTCCTCGCCTATCGCGTCGACGTCTTCTTCGGTTATTGATCGCTCGTTCGATCGCTTCTCAGCGATTTCGGCGGGGATGAGTCTTCTCCGTGCTGTACGGGTGAAGCGCTGAAGCAATGATATCTGACGACTTATCCGACAAGGTTAGTTATCCAATGCAATGAAATTTCAACCTGAGTAGTCTAGTTCACGTTTCACCTCCCTCTGAGATGTATTCGATGCAGCACGTCATGAGCCTTGTTATTGTCACAAACATTGATTCTCCGTTATTGCTGCGTTGTCTACGCTCAGGCGCGTCTGGCGATGCTGTTGTCTGTGACGTGCACGGCGAAACCGTCGTCCGCGCGTCGTCGTACGGCGAAACCGTCGTCCGCGCGTCGTCGCGCGGCAAAACCGTCGTCCGCGCGTCGTCGCACGGCGAAACCGTCGTCCGCGCATTGTCGCACGGCGAAACCGTTGTCCGCGCGTCGTCGCACGGCGGAACCGTCGTCCGCGCGTCGTCGCACCGGCGAAACCGTCGTCCGCGCATCGTCGCACGGCGGAACCGTCGTCCGCGCGTCGTCGCACGGCAAAACCGTCGTCTGCGCATCGTCGCACGGCGGAACCGTCGTCCGCGCATCGTCGCACGTAACCGTCGTCTGCGCGTCGTCGCACGGCGAAACAGTCGTCTGCGCGTCCGCGCGCGGCGAAGTCGTCGTCCGCGATTCGTTTCATGGCGAAATGGTCGCGCGGCTGTGCGTCCCGTTGAGGTGGGGGTGAGCAGCAGCAGCATCAGCTTTCGGTGCTTCTTCAACCGCCAGCTAAGTGCCTTCTCCTCCCTCCACTCTCCCTCGCTTGCTGCTCACCATTGCTGCTCGCCGTTTCCCCCTGAAATACTCGCCACTGGTTGGGGCCCGCCTCACAAGCAACAGACCCCCACCCCCAATCGCAGGTAAGCCCATCAGGTACAGGTTGAGCCCCCCTAAAGCCTTACAGCCCCCTCAGGTTCCCCTGGGGGTCTGTGGCTTGTGGATGTGCTCCTCCAGTGGCCCCTCCCTTGCCTTGCCTGCCGTTTCCCCATCCCACTCTCGCTCCCACCTCCCCCGCTGCCTTCACCTCGTTCCTCACGGCGCTCCCCTCCCCTCCCTCCCGTCCCTGCCCTCCCATCCCTTTCCTGCCAGGCGAGCCCAAGCCAATAGGACGGAAGCAGGCGAGGGGAGCGGAGCACCAGGGCGGGCAGCAGGAGCAGGTGCAGGTACCCCCTCATGTGCTGGTGTGCAGGTACCCCCTCAGGTGCAGGTACCCCCTCATGTGCAGGTGTGCAGGTACCCCCTCAGGTGCAGCCCTTGGGTCTGCAGTTTGTGACTCGGCCTCCACCAGTGGCCCCTCCCCTCTCCCGCCTTGCAAATGCCGTTCCCTCTCTTGCACTTTCACCATTCATCCCCTCGCTGCCCACTGACCAGCTCTGCGTGTGTGCCTTGCAGGTGGAGGGGAGGGGCAGGGGTCAACACCAAGGGAGGCAGCACTGCCAATCGCTGCACCAAGGGAGAGTATCGGGGTGGGCTCGGCCTCTCAAGGTACGTCACCTCCCCTCTTGCCCTCATCGCTCTCCCTTTCTGCTCTTCAAGTTTGCCTTTCTGCTCTTTAGTTCTGCCTTCTCGTGTTTGTCTATCTCTGTTTTATCCATTTGTTTTCTGGTCATGCCTACTCACTTGCTTTTTCTTCCCCTCTTTCTTCCCCCCCCACCAGGTCACTTGGCAGCGAGTGAAGACTGTAGCAGAGGAAGCTGAGTAGCAGACCGGCAGCAGCAGTTGCAGCAGAAGCGGCCTCAGCAGCAGCAGCGGGGGCGGGGTGGGGGGGGGGAAGGCCTATAGGACAGGATAGGTTAGATCGAGTCATGAGCGAGGTGTGGTATGGTATCAGGTGAGTTATGGTTGCAGTTGTGTTATCTGATCCCCTCCCCTCTCTTTCTCCCCCTCCCCCCAACCCCTCTTGCAGCATGAGAGAGGGACAGACCACCGGAGCAAGGGCGGGACACAGGGCGTCTCTCGTTTCATCTCCCCCCTCCTGTTTACAGCCTGCGGAAGGGAGGGAGCACTGGAGCAAAGGCGGACAGAGGCATCCCTCTTTTGACCCCCCAACCCCCTTCTCCACTCTCCACTTCCCAGCAGCCTGAGGCATCATGGCGCTCTGCATGGTTGTGGTAGGTACAGGTAAGGAGGCATGGGGTGAAAGGATGGGGGTGAAGCATAGGAGCAAGTGGGCAGTTCACTGCCTTAGGGGCAGCATCCTCTGGTGTCGTGCCTTGTGGTTCGGGGTGTGGTGGGTGGAATCTACACGGCACGGCACTCGGTGCTCAAGTAACCGATCTGGCGTTCAAGGCTTAATGGACACCGTCAGAGCCGACCGGCCGGCGGCTCTGGTTCGCGTCAGCTCTAGCCACGTCAGGGGTGGGATTTGAGTCTTGGGCTGGAAGCAATTTTCCACTGCCACACCTCGACTTCAAGGCACAGCCCCCGAGAGTGCTGTTTCCGAAAGGGAGTGGGCTGTCTGCTGCTCCTACTGCTGGTAAGTGAAGTTGAGGAGGGCTGGGTGGGCTGGATGGTGATGGTGGTGAGAGGCTGTGGGTTGGCAGTGGCACATGATGAGTCGAATGGCACTGATGCCACCTGTTGCATGAGAGCCTGATGCTCGTACTTGGTAGGTGGCATATGATGAGCTGTATGGCACTGATGCCACCTGTTGCATGAAAGCATGAAACAGTGTGGTAAGAGTGTGTTAAGAAACCGTGTGGTATGATGCAGTGTGGGTATGAACTGGTGTGGTATGATGCAGTATGTTACGTTACATTGTGCTGTGGTAGAATGTGGCATACTACCCTGTGGTATGATCACGTGTGTTATGATGCATTGTGGTATGACTCAGTCTCGTATAATGCAGTGTGGAAAATGTTTGTTTGGTTCGATACAGTTTGGTAATTTATGAGTGGTCTGATACAGTGGGGTGTGATATGGTGTGGTTATGGTCAACTACGGTATGATTCATTGTGGTATGGTACAGTCTTGTATGATAAAGAGTGGCCTGATACTGTGTGGTGTTACACAGTGTGGTATGATACTGTGTGACAGTGTACCGTGGTGTGGCATGGCATGTGTTGTATCTGATCGTGTGGCATGTGTTTTCTTGGCATGTCATCGTTGTCATTTTCTCGTATGGCTTCGTGTGGCATAGCATGGCATGGTGTGAGATGGCGTGGGTTGTCATGGTGTGGCATGGCATGGCACGGTGTGTTGTGACATGAGGTTGCATGGCATGGTGTGGCATGGGAGCCATCATGATGCCATCTGCAGGCTGGCAGCAGCGGGAGGGGAGGGGAGCACCATGGAAGACAAAGAGGGCAGTGTGGGAGGGAAGAGAGGGTCCAGGGGTGGAGGAGTCGAGGTGTGTGATATGTGGCAAGAATGCTTGCCTGACCTGCCATGCCCTTTCAGTGGTTGCATGGTGGTATGTTGTAGTCTGATCTGAGTCTGGAAGCTCTAGTGGCTAAGTACACTCCTTTAAGGTTTACCTACGGTTTAGTTTTACGTAGTACACAAGTGTGCCTTGCTGTGACAGTATTAAGATAGGTTTGATATACACAAATGTGGCTCGAACTTGCTTCAAAGTATACAGCTTTGTATCACTATTCTTCTCACCTGGACACCTATAGCACTCATCAGGGGTGCTTGAGGCATTGTGGAGCCCTGCCTAAGAAGCCCTATGCCTTGCAATTTTCTTCCGTAATGAATGGCTTGATTCTCTATGGCCCGTGGAAGGTGCTGGTTCTGTACAATTTCTTTGAAAAAATCGGCAAAGTCGGGAAATCGGCAATGTACAAATTCTTAGAATTCATTTATTTCTCCAATCTATAGCGCAGCCCACACGTACACGGTAAAGTCCATTGCGCAGCACAGCACGGTTCCAAGGAGGCGAGCCAGCGCTGTTTCCGGCGCAAGCTTCAAGCAACGATGGCGGGGATTCTTGGACGTTTGAGTTCCCCGGAGTTGCCGCTCACTTTCTCAGGATTCTTTCGCAGCCAATCAGGTGCATCGCACTCGCGGTGGCCTCGCCATGCACTCAAACCGCCGCGTAGTCTTGCCTCTGTCGTCATCGTCGCCGTCCATTCTGTCTCCTTACTCCTCCTCTCGTCCCTGCTCCTTGCGTCAGTCGCAGCCACCTCCCATCATCCCACCGCAAATTCACATGACGTGTGCCCATCTGGCCTTCACGCATCAACGTGCGCTGCCGCGCCCGTGCCCCCCTCATCCGCTTCTCTTCGCCGCGCGGATGGCGCATCCGCAGTTCCGCCTCACGTGTCCTCCCCCACCAGTTCCGCCGCATCTTCTCCGCGCATCCCCCCCGAGTCTCCCCCTCTCCGCCTCCCCGTGCTGTGGATGGCGCCGTTTCTCTCCGCGGGGGGGTATTCCTCCGAAGCCGTCGCGTTCGCGACGTCGCTCGCGGCGTCCCCGCAGTCGCCGCCGTTGAAGATAAAGCAGCACGGGGACGGCACCAATTGGGAGTTTATTTCCGGGCTGCCCGACTCCACGGTTCGAACTCTGCAAGAACTTTTTGAGGGCACCACAGGAGCAGCCGGGCGAGGGAAAGCGGAGGAGGGAGCGGGAGGAGAAGAGGAGATGGAGTATGGTAGAGAGGAGGACGGAATGGGGGAATGGGAGAGACTGTGGCGTGCGGGAAGAGGAAGAAGAGCAGGGAGGACGGAAGAAGAGGGAGGGGAAACACCAGGTGGAAGTGGAAGTGAAGCAGGGGCAGCAGAGGAACAGGACAGCAGCAGCAGCAGCAGCAGCAACAGCAGAGGCAGCGTAGTGCACGGGGTCGTCATCTGTCACAGCGAGCCAGGCGCATGGGAGCCGCCCCTCTTCCAAACCCTTCCCTGCCCGCCCGCCTCCCTGCAGGCATCGGCGTTTCTGGTGGGGCGCACCATGTTCGAGACGGACCGAGTCACGCCCACGCACGTGCAGCGCTGCAACCGCATGCACCAGATTTGGGTGCCCTCCGCCTTCCACCTGCACTCCTTTGCTGCCAGCGGCGTGGAGCCCTCCAAGCTCCGCGTGCTGCCTCAGCCTGTTGACGTGCGCGCCTTCCACCCGGCTGCCGTCGCTCCTGCCCTCCGCCCCGCCCTCCCTCCTGCTGAGCTTGTTCTCGGCCCGGACCGGCTGGCACATGCACGTGACGGTGATGGGGAGATGGGGGATCATGGGAAGGATGAGGAGGAAGGGATGGATGACGAGAGTGATGCGGGGAGAAGTGGGAGTGGGAATGGGGGTCAGGGCGACTGGTGTGGTGAAGGTGGCGGCATGATTGAGGACGGTGGCATGCAAGATGACGGGTTGTCGGTGCCAGGAGGAGAGGGCGGTGGGAGTGGCACGCAACCATTTGTGTTTCTGAGCATGTTCAAGTGGGAGCAGAGGAAGGGCTGGGACGTGCTGCTGAGGGCGTACCTGTCCACGTTCACCGCATCGGACCCTGTGCTGCTCTACCTCGTCACCAATGCCTACCACACCGACTCCCACTTTGCAGCCAAGATAGCCTCCTTTCTCCACTCGGCTAACATTACTGAACCACCCGAGGGCTGGCCGTCGCTCTATGTGCGGGCAGAGCATGTGGCGCAGTCTGATTTGCCGAACGTTTTTCGGGCAGCTGATTTTTTTGTCTTGCCCACAAGAGGAGAGGGATGGGGGCGGCCAATCGTGGAAGCCATGGCATCAGGGCTGCCGGTGATTGCCACTAACTGGTCCGGCATAACAGAGTATTTGAACGTTGAGAATGGGTACCCACTACCCGTAGACCATCTCTCAGAGGTTCCCGATGGGCCATTTAAAGGCCATTTGTGGGCGGAGCCTTCTGTTTCTGAGCTCTGCAAGTTGATGCGAGGGGTGTTGTCTGATAGGGCAGGTGGAAGGAGGAAGGGGTGTGCAGCTCGCAGGGACATGGTTGAGAGATATGCTCCAGAGAAAGTTGCAGCAGCGTTGATTGACCTCCTTGCGGAGGTGGAGGCTAGCACTCGACAAAATCATTTTCGCGTTGAATGAAGGATAACGTGTACAGATACCGTTCTCTCTGGTATACCTGAATGCTTGATAAATATAGGGCAGGCAATGTAATACACATGACTGACTACAGTGGGGGTTAGCAAAATGTGTGCATTCCGGAGTTTTGCAAAGTTTACAAAAATCATTTAGGTAATGAGTTTACATTGTGTCTCCCAGGAATGTGACATGCTGAGAAAATGCGTCATGTCTCAGAGCCACATGACATCATGCCTTGAATGAACTACGGTACACCATACACTCACACTGCGCTTGTAATGTTGACTTGAGCCAAAGCCCTCGCAACCCATTCATCAAAACCCTCCCTCCCTTTCCCACCTTCGTGCATGAGTTGACCTGCGTGGCAGATCATGATGAAATTGCGACATCCGAGCCTCCACTTTTGCGAGCCTATGTGGCTACCGGAGCAGTACTACAGTGCCACGTCATGCGCACAAGTCTGAACCCCTTATCGCATCATACCAGCGCCCAAGGCTCCCTTGTCACATTTTGAAATCGAGGGGTCTGCCCTTCCTGCATGGTCTGGCGAACCCCACGCTGAGCCAGGTGTTCGGGCTTTCCGAGGTGAGGTGGGGTGAGGTGAGGTGTGGTGTGCGTTTGAGTGCGTGAGGTGTAGCCATCATCCAGAACCACTCTCAATAACTCCTCCGAGACCTATTTCTGGGTCCTTTTTTTCTCAGCGCTTCTCATAGGGAGGCCGTTTAGCGTGCTGAGAAAGCCTGGTCAGCAGAACGAGCGACATCGATTACGTTGCCGCTGGCTCTCTGATAGAGACTGGGCTTCGCTTCTGAGTCTTAGTTTCTGAAGGCGATCGCCGATCTTCCTTCAGGTGATTATGTCCACGGTATGGCAAGTGCGTTCCTGCTCGCGTCTAGCAACAACCGTTTTCTTGGATCGCCCTACTTGCGCATGTGCTTAGAATTTATAAAACACGTTTGATTCATTCATGGTGTCTTTTTTTGTTGGTGAGGACAACTCATATGATATCGGCAAAGGGTAGGACGAAGGGTTTTGCAGTTGCTAGTAGATGGCTTGTTCATGTTGCTGATCAGTTTGTGTGTCTTGTTTTCCTCTGCACTGTTGGGTGATCGCGTGGTTCGCTTTTTCTTTCCCGAGATCACGAAATTCGTATCTGACTAGCATCTTCAGCCAGTCTAGCGCAATCTGTATTTGTGAGAGTGTCTTCAGTGGGTGTTGCTTTTTTTATGGCCCTTCTAATGATCGCCTGCGACACGCGTCGTTGCATTCACTCCCTCCTGTCCGTCTCTCGTCCCAGCAGAATGCAGTCCATCGGCCGCTACTTGAGTTTCAGCGCCAAGGCAAAGGACGGCGAGGGCGCGGAGGGCGGCGAGGAGCAGTCAGACGTGTCTCCGCCGCGTGCCGTTGCGGATGACGGCGATAACAGTGGCTCGGATGCAGGCGAGGGAGGAGAAGCGGCTCCAGACGCGTCTGAGAAGGATCAGGACGGCGGTTCGATCCGTGCTCCGTTGAGCGTCGAGGGTGAGACAGAAGAGGAGCACGATTCTGACGATGACGATAACGAGTCGTTCGGTAGCGCGAATGAGCGTGCTGAAGGGTCTGTGGGCAGCTTCGGAACATCCCCAGTGGCGGAGGATTTCATGATTCCTAAGGCAAAGGTAACAGGGGACTCGGAAGATTTCTCGGTGCCTGTGGTGAGTGCGGAGATGGATGCGGATGGGGAGGCGGATGTTTTTGAAGAGGGCGAGGAGGAGGTTTCTAGCGCAGTGGTGACGGAAACTGTTACTGAATCTGTGGTGGAAACGGTGACAGAGACAGCTGCAGTTGAACAGGTCACGGCGACCGTAACAGAGGCGGTTGTAACGGAGGTGGCGAGTGAGACTGTTGTGGAGCAAGTGGAAATGCAAGGTAGTGCAGCTGCTGCGTCTTCTTCTGAAGTCGTTGCAGCTGCTGCTGATGTCAGCGAGTCTGTTGCGACGGTAGCAACGACCGAAACGGCCGCAGCTACTGAAACGGTTACGACGACGACCACCACGGTGACCACCACTACGGTGACCTCCACCACCAGTGTTGAGGCGGAGACGGAGACCGTGACAGAAACAGCGTCCGCTACTGTCGAAGAAACAGTGACCGCTGTTGCCGCCACTGCTGGCGAAGCTGAAGCGCAGACTAGTGCAGTAGTTGATGCAGGGGAGGCGGCGCAGGTGGAGGGCGACCTTCAGGCGCGGCTGCAACAAGCCATCGCGGACGCCAGTCGCGTGGATGTGGAGGACGTGGATGACGACGACAGTGACGACAGCGAGGCGGAGGAGTGGGTGGATGGGGAGGAGGACGACGAGGACGAGGACGACGAGGAGGGCGCGGGGGTGTCCGCTTCGCTGGACGCGCTCGTGAGGGACATGGAAGCTGTGGTGCAGGGGGCGGCGGGCGGCAGCGCTGCTGGCGGGATTAACCTCCCCCCGCGTATGTCTGCTCCCCGCGGTCTCAACGGCTCGCTCGACCTCCCAGCTCGCCCGCAGTCTTCCACCCGATCCGCCGACTCTGGTTCGGAAGGCTCCGCAGTTGACTCGGTGGCTCGGCAGGCCGCGGCGGTGATTGCGCGACAGGGCATGACAGGCGCTATGGGCGATCCCGCTGCTGCGGGGGCAGCGCCGGATGCCCCGCTCAATCCGCGCGCGGAGAAGGTGAACTCTGTGCGCGTGAAGCTGCTGCGCCTGGCCGCGCGGCTGGGGCAGTCGCACAGCAACGTGGTGGTGGCGCAAGTGCTCTACCGCCTGGAGCTCGCGGAAAAGTTCCAGGAGACCTCCTCCCGCGCGGGCAGCGGCGGCGTGCGCATCATTGGCGGCGCCATGGGCAGCGCCATGCGCCTGGACCGCGCGCGCGAGCGCGCAGCTGAGCTGGATGCGACGGAAGGCGCGGACTCGGACCTAGACTTCGGATTGACGATCATGGTGGTGGGCAAGACGGGCGTGGGTAAAACCGCCACCATCCACTCGCTCCTCGGCACCACCCCCCCTGCGGATGCCCCGCCTGCGGAGCTCCCCGCAACGACACGCGTGCGCGAGGTGACGGGGCGCGTGCACGGCGTGAACGTGAAGGTGGTGGACGTGCCGGGGCTGCACCCGTCCGTGGCGGACATGCGGCGCAACCAGAAGATCCTGCGCTCCGCCAAGCGCTACCTGCGTGGCAAGCAGCCCGACATCGTGCTGTACGTGGACCGCCTGGACGTGCAGGCGCGCGATTACGGCGACATGGAACTCGTGCGCCCTATCAGCGACACCTTCGGTCCTGCTGTGTGGATGAACACGATCGTCGTGCTCACGCACGCGTCCTCCGCGCCCCCTGAGGACAGCAGCGGGCGCCCCATGAGCTACGAGATGTACGTGGCACAGCGGTCGCACGTGGTGCAGCAGACGATCCGCCAGGCGTCGGGCGACATGCGCCTGCTGAACCCCGTGGCGCTGGCGGAGAACCACCCCGCCTGCCGCACCAACCGCACGGGCGACCGCGTGCTGCCTAACGGCCAGGTGTGGCGCCCGCAGCTGCTGCTGCTCTGCTTCGCCTCCAAGTGCCTCTCTGAGGCCAATTCCGTGCTCGAGATTGGCGGCCCTGCGTCCGCCCGCGCCCAGCGCGGCCGCTCGCGCATGCCGCCGCTGCCGTACCTGCTGTCGTCGCTGCTGGGCCCGAGGCAGCCGCTGCGACTGCCGGAGGAGCAGCAGATGGGCGACGATGATGAGTACGACGAGAGCAGCGACAGCGAGGGCGAGGACGACGAGGTGGACTTCGACGCGCTGCCGCCCTTCCGCCGCCTCACCAAGGCGGAGCTGCAGCAGCTGGAGCCCGCGCAGCGCCGGGAGTACTACGAGGAGCTCGCGGACAGGGAGAGGCTCTTCCAGGTACGAGACACACACGAGATGACACGGCTGTTGGGAATGGAATGGGCTGTTGGGTTGAGGTGTGGGGTTTGTGTCTGTGAGGCTGAGGGTTTTAGCGCTGACGGGGGGACGCCGAAAGTCTCATAACACGTCTACATCTTTCCTCTCGCTACTTTGTTTTCTGTTGTGCGTGTGCTTGGGTTGGATGCGTTGACTGACCCCGTTTCCGTCCCCTGGTCCGTGTGTCCGTGTGTGGCTACGGTGCAAGCAGAAGAAGCAGTGGAGGGAGGAGCTGAGGAGACGCAGGGAGCTGAGGCGGAAGCTGGAGGCGGGCGAGGACGTGGAGGAGGAGGGCGCGGAGAAGGCCAAGGGGGCGGAGGGCGAGGAGGGCGCGGAGGAGGACGCAGGACCCAGCAACGTGCCTGTGCCCATGCCCGACCTTGACCTGCCGCCGTCGTTCGACAGCGACCAGCCCAGCCACCGCTACCGCTACATTGAAACTGCCAACCAGGTGCGCTGAGACAGGGATGGGGCTACGCTGCTTGTGATCGGGGTCGTGCTGCTTGTGAGGAAAGCTTAGGCGTTATTGAAAAGAAACTGGGCTTCCAATAGGCGGTTGTTTGACTTGATTTGTTTCCTTTTGCCCTCGGTGGTGGCAGTGGTTGGTGCGGCCCATGTTGGAGCAGCACGGGTGGGACCACGACACGGGCTATGATGGCTTCCAAATGGAAAAAGCATTTGCCATCCGCGACAAGATCCCCGCTTCCGTCTCTGGCCAGGTACGCTCCTCGCTCCTCCCTCCCCCCCCCCTCCTTCCCTGTCACTCCCACGCTCCCGTTCAATTGTTATTGCTCTTCACACACGCGTACCTGAATTTTGTTCTGTATGCCACATCACCCCTCTCACCCCCTCTCGTATCACACGTGTGAAAGAAACGACTTTGGGTTCATTGTTGTTAATTGTGTCTCCTGAAACCACCGTCTCACCTCCCCAACTCCCCGTCTCCCATCCCTGGGTCTCCGCGTCCCCTGCATTCCCTCTCCCGCCATCTCTCCTCCCTGTGCTGTGCGCCTATCCATGCGTCCAGATCACCAAGGACAAGAAGGACTGCACGGTGGCGCTGGAGGCGGCAGCGTCCATGCGGCACGGCACGTCGTTCCTGCACGCGCCCGTCACCACGGCGGGGCTGGACGTGCAGTCCGTGGGCAGCAGCCTCGCGTACACGCTGCGCTCCGAGACCCGCTTCCGCACGTTCCCACACAACCGCACCACCGCTGGCATCTCCTTCACCACCTACGATGGCAGTGGGCTCACCACTGGACTCAAGGTGAGCACTTGCGCTGGGGTGGAAGAGAAACGATGGCGGGCGGGGGAGGGGAATAACGGGAGGATGGGTGGTTCTATGGGGAAATTGTTGGGTTGAGTTTGACGGTGCGCGTGAAAGGATTGGCGTGGCATGGGTGTTAGGGGATGGTGTTGGGATGCATATAGCAATTGATGGCACATGAAGTTGGATTGAGTGACACAATAAACCTCTTATACACATGGTCTAACCAAGAGCCATTTTTATTTTTCACACTTAATCCAAGGCAAGCAAGTTGAAAAGAACAAGACTTAAGTGCTGTCCCATTCGCAGTTGGCTGATCACCCTCCCTTTCTCACCTACCCTTGAACATTCTCTAAAGTGTCGGATGCACCAATCTTGGTCACTGACTGCTCTCTTCCCAACCTACTTCCTCATCCCCACACCTCATGCATCCCTGTTTCACTCCCCCCCCCCCCCCCCCCCCCCCCCACCCCCCTCCCCTCCTCCCACACCGATGCATGGCACGGCAGGTGGAGGACCGGTTGCTGGTGGGCAAGAGCGTGAGTCTCAACGCTGCAGCTGGCTTTGTGCGCTGCGGGCGTCTCATGGCCAGGGGGGCTAACTGCGAGGTGCAGGTAAGTTGCACACTCACGTGCCAACTGGTGCGGGTGGGAGGGGGGAAAGACTGGCGCGCCCTGCCGTGGCACGTCATCGCAGTTGAGGTTATAGTGGGATAGGATGGTGCGCGTGGGGATGGATGGGTGTAGGTGATTGGATGTTTTATGGTAAGGCTGGTGAATCCAGTGCCAGGCACTTGGCGCTGCAACGCATTTCTTGCACCAACTACCCACAGACTCCATACATTGAGAGTATAATGAACCTGCAATGATTTTGAAAGTGGCTGTAATGTCCAGTCGTTGATCCTTTGGTCTTGCCATTATGCCTTGTTTCCACTCGTGTGCTGCTGCTGCCCCGCTGGTTCACCAGGTGCGGCATCCCGACCATCCACTGGATCGTACCATGGGAGTGCTCGGGCTTACCCTCATGGACTGGCAGGTCAGTCAATAGTGACATCCACATGGTGCCCTTCCAGCCGTCATCTGTGTCTTGTGCATGTTTTTCTCCCCTTTTTCACCCTTTTGTGATTACTTGGTCCTCCGACCACGTTACGTGGTGGTTCATCCTACATTGGTGCATGACATATGCTTTCCTCTCTGTCCTCCCTTTCCACAGGGCGATCTAGTGGTGGGAGCGAATGTGCAGGCGCAGGCCACAGCAGGCAAGACGAATCTGCTGTTCCGAGCGAATGTGAACAACCGCGCAGCGGGCACCATTTCGCTGCGAGCCACGTCCAACGAGCAGCTGCAAATGGCCCTCATCGGCCTCGTGCCGCTGCTGCGCTACTTCCTTGCTGGCGGCTTTCTGTTCGGCAACAAGGGCGATGAGATGGTGGACGAGGCTTAGGGTGCATGCTGCTGGGCTTGGTTTTCTCGTGGTTTCTTTGTGTGTTCTGCTCTGATGACATGGTCAGGCTGATGCAGATGATGGGAAGGTGGTGATTTTTCTCAAGGATTGCTAGTAGGGAGATAGTAGATGCTGTGTGGCTCATACTAATCTGCACCACCTTGGTATCCAGGCTTTAATCTCTGTAGGACAATTTTTTTGCAATCAACTCATGTACTGCCCTTGTTCTCTGTTCAGCTTGCAGTCAGGAGTAAATTGCCATGTCTATCTATCTGTACTAAGACGTGTTCCTGTGGCCTCTCATGAGGCGTGGCATGCTTGTGTCACACGGCATTGGAGCACACCCTGTGTACTAATTCTTCTGACAAGAGGGGTGTGTTTGAAAAGAGGCGTAGGAACTCGCCCCTATGTACTAATTCTTTGAAGAAAGGTGCAAGCTGAGGTGGATGCTAAAACCATGAATACCAGTTTATGATGTACACTGCAGAACAACGGTATCCTCAACCATAATTGAGCACAAGGATTTCTTCTGTTTAATTAGCAACCGAACCGAGCAACTTCTCCCGTTTGGTTTGAACAAACCAATACCTTGTGTGACACCGGTTACTAACGTCATGATAGGGTTCTCTAACAATACCAAAGTTTCTCAGCCACTGCATCAAGACCTTCATTAAACAGCAGTTCTACACATGTAATGTAACTGCCCAGTCATGCACCCCACTGGTGGTTGCACTGTGTGCCTCAAGGCACACCAAGTGGTGCATCCTTTCAGCATGCCTGCGCCTCTCACACACATAAGAACACTGCACACAGCAACTGCTGCTCACATGCCTCTGCACGCCTCCACCACCTGCTCCTCCTCGTTAGCCTCATCATGCTGCTCTATCTGCTGCTCACGCGTCCCACTGCATCGCACTGCTCCTCTGCCACTGCTGCTGCTACTCCTGCCACTGCTCCTGCCAATACTCCTGCAACTGCTCCTGTGCTGCTCCTGATACTGCCCCTGCTGCTGCTTCCTGTTGTCACCGCTGCCTGAACCAACTGCTGTAGCCAGTTGCTCAGGTTACCCAAGATAAGAACAGGCAACATCCGCCACAGCACTGACTGCCCTTCGCTGCCATCCGAAGATCCCTTGCTCTCCCCTCGCACCATCCTGATGCCATTCCGCAGCACAGGGTGCAGCAGCGCGTGGTACAGCAGGAACAGCAGCAACAGACGCAGCAGCAGGCCCAGTGGAGTGTGCAACAACAGCGTGTGGCATGCAGCAGCAGCAGCAGCAGCAGCAGCCGCAGCAGGAGCAGCAGCAGCGGCAGCAGCAGCAGGGGCTGTGAGGAGCAGTGAACTCCCAACAGCCAATATGGTTTGCTTTGCTGTGCTGGAATGATGGTTGAGGTCAACCCGGCTGAAGCCACTGCTCCAGGCGGCACCACCATCCCTGCCACTGCCCAAGCTCTTGTCCCCAATCCTGCCCTCCTTCCCCTGTGCATCCTTGAGTACCAATCACATCTTGTCGCACGTGGATGTTGATATTACCCTCGCATTCCACCCTGTAACTCTACCCGTTATACGACCCCTGCCTCTGCTGCTGCTGCGACGGCTGCTGCTGGGTGAAGTGTGAGTACGGCTGCGTGAACAGCTGGTTGCTGCCAAACGCCTGCCAGGGATGAAGTGACGGGGACACAAGAAGCAGGTGAAGAGCTCGCAGAAAATGCACACAAACACAGAAACAAGGAGGGACCTAACACGAGATAACACACGGGATAACATGTGATGGGACCTGGCAGTGCTCCAGCATGGTGAAAGTGCCCCAGTCAAGGAAAAACAGGCACTTGGTAAAAATCCCAAAAGGGATACCTGAGAGGCGAAGTGCTGTGTGGAGGGGCCATCTGCAGGGTGGTGTGCGAAGGGGCCAGGCTGCTGTGACTGTGAGAGAGGGCGTGAGGGGAGGCCAAAGCCGAGGGACGGATCGGGCATGTGCACATAGTTGAAGTCCTGTCAGGGTGCACAGGGACATGGAGCAGGGAGGGCGTGGTGTGACGCAGGTGGGGGGAGAGGGCAGGGGGGGAGAGGTGGGAGGGAGGCAGGAGATTAAGGGGGTTGAAGTACGCGTGGCATGCGAGGAGGAGGATGAAAATACATGAGGTGCAAGTGCTGCTGCAGCTCAGCTGATCTTACCTCCCCTCCCAGTGATGCTGAAATGGGATGTGAGACAGGGAAGATGTGAGTACGTGGGCAGAGAGCATATGAGCATGCAGGCATGTGGGCAGGTGCGCATGTGGGCATGCAGGCATGTGCGCATGGCAGCAGCGCACCTGGGTCATGAGGTCAGCGGGCAGGTTAGAGCCCTGAGAGTACTGTGACTGCATGCTGCCCCCCTGCTCCTGCTTCCCCCCACCAGATGAAGGCTGCCCCACACCCATGTGCTGCTGGTGGCGCTGCTGGGGCATGAGGTCCGATGATGGGTGGGAGAACCCTCCCTGCCACACACATGCACACACATGCACAGACGGCATGCATGGCACGCACATACAACACAGCACACATCGGATACGGTTGTTAGGCCACGGCAGACACATTAAGTGGGAAGGGAGAAGGATTATGCATTGGGCCAATCATGCAGCAGCAGAGGGGGATGCACCATGCTTGCTGCAGGCAGGCAAACGAGAAGCATGCAAGTGCGAGGCAATGCATGCAGGTGCAGCAAGAGGGGGAAGGGAGTTGGGTTGGGACGAGGATGTAAGCAGCTTTGCAGGGGGCGGGTGGGGAGGAGGCAAGGGCGGCATGCCTGCGTGTTGAAGGAAGCGAAGCCCAGCGAGCCCTGTGAGTTGAAATCGTCCCCTAGGAAGTCCTGTCATGCACACACACGCACCAGCACACGTGGGGGACAATGTGTGGGGAGGGGAGGGGTGTGGTGGTGAGAGAGGGTGGATGGGGATGGGAGTGGTGAGTGGGGCAATGGGGATGGAGACAGCATTCTAAGGAAATCTATGCATGAACGGATGTTAGAACAGAGTGTGTGTGACGGGGCGGCACGAGCAAGGTAAGAGGGGCGACTGCAGGGGAACGGAGGAACGAGTAGCGGAGCGGTGGAGGGCGGCACCTGTGACATGGTGAGGGGGAAGAGATCGTTGTGTGGCGCCTGGCTGAGCGGCACGCCTGCAGACCCGCCCTGACTGCTGCTGGGCGCCTGTGCGCATGGGCATGCCGTGCACGCACATGGGGGAGGACAGACACACATACACACCAATTACAGAAACGGCACACACGGAGTAAGCTGCACAGGACAAGGCAGACCGTGTAAGCTGGCTGGCACTGCAAGGGCACTCATGCAGCAGCGCACTAGCAGAGAGCTCAGGGCACATGGAGAGAGATGAATGAGAGTGGTGCAGGGCTGCAAGCAGCATGGGCAGCAGCGGAGCAAGCAGAGAGGCTACACACAGCAGCGCAAATAAACACTGCTGGTCTGCCCCTATACCACCCACCTGCGTGAGCATCTCCTGTTGCGAAATCCCTCCATCCATGCCTCTCCCTCGCCCCCCTGTCTCGCCCCTCCCATCCGCCACCACTCCCAGCCCCCTGCCTCCACCTCCGCCTCCTCCCCTCCCGCCTGCGCCTCTGCCCATGCCAAAGCCCCTCCCCCCGCCCTGCGGCCCCACGGCCACCTGCTGCGCTGCCTGCCCCAGTGCGGGGCGTGTGGGGATGGCGTAGGGCTGCGCATATGCGCCCAGGGGGAAGGCCGGCAGGGGCATGCGCGGGGGGATGGGGCCATGGGGGGAGGCAGAAGGGGGGCCGCCGCGGGGGAAGCCGTTGGGGAGGTTCGGGGGGAAGGGGGCGGAGGGAGGGTAGGAAGGGCCGGGCATGCCAACAGGAGGCATGGGGCGGGCGGACGGGGGGAAGGGCGGGCCGCGCGAGGGCGGGTAGGGGCGGGCGTGCGAAGGCATGGAGGGCACGGTGGGTGTGAGCGTGGGGACGAATGGCTCTGGTGCCCCCAGCGCCACCATGCCCGATGATGGCATGCGCCGGTCAAAGTGCGGCTGACCAGGCACAGGGACGGGACGGGGGAAGGGGGAGTCGCAGGGGAGTGGTGGCAGGGGGAAGGCAAGGGGACATAGGGGAAAGGTGTCAGTGAGAAGCATGTTGCGGAAAGTAGAGAGATGCCGCTCACTGTTATCCCAATGCATGGAAAGCAAGCAGCAGTACAAGGAATTCAAGCGGAAATGCGTGAAGATTGAGAGAGGGAGGGACGTGCAGGGAGGCGAGGAAACCACGGGCGGGTGGAGCAGTGGAGGTGGGCGAGCAGAGGTGGGCGAGCAGAGGTGGGCGAGCAGAGGTGGGGGAGCAGAGGTGGGGGAGCGGAGCAGCACCTTGGAGGGCTTGTGGAACTGAACCATGCTCTGATTGAGGTTCGTGAGCGGCCCCTCCACCAGCGCCTCCCTCTCCTGCCCATACATCAGTGGTCATGGCACAGGCGACAGCAAGCAACACCCTTTGAGCAACGAGGCACCAAGATTGCATGCCACACACGGCCAACACCGAGACGAGGCCAAGACAACAGGGGAAAACTGGCAGGGAACAGTGCAGGCAAGCGACAGAACAGGCAGGAGCAAGAGGGACGTGCGGTGCAGAAGCAGGGAGGCCAAGGAAGGGAGGGAGGATGTGGTTACCTTGAAGTGCGTGAGGAGCAGGTTCCAGAGCGGCTGCTTGGAGAGCACCTTGGCGTTGCCCAGCAGCACCACCCCGTACTTGGCCCTCGTCAACGCCACGTTCAGCCTCCGCGGGTCGTTCAGGAACCCAATGCCCTGCAGAAGGGTTGAGGGAAAGGAGAAGCAACGTGCGGGCGAGCAAAGGATGCAATTGAAAACGTAGTTGAGACTGCGCTTGTTTGGTGTGCAAAGGAAAAGCATCAGTGGAGACAAGAGTCATGCATGGTTGCAGGGAAAAGGCAAAGCAGGCCAGCAGATGCGTTGGGTGTGGGTGGGAGGAGAGTGACCTGATGCTCG